TGGAATCTATAATTTACATAAATCAAAACATTAAATGATAAGTTTAAAGCGTGGAAAAAACTAATATTTCTTGATTTCACATACCACTTTCAAACCAATTCCATATTTTGGATATACGTTTATTAAATCGATAAGATTTTTATTATATTTTGCATCTTTATAAATGGGTAATTCTGATTTAGATTTTTCTATCAATTTTTTTGCTACGCTTGTCATCTTTTGATTTTATTTGAGTTTTTTTTTAATTTTAAAATTTTATATGGTTTAACAATATAGTGTGGGAGAGTCACATTGCTTATTATATAAAATAGATTTTATTTTTAAAAAAAAATTTTTTTTAAAAATAAAAATAATAATGACAGAGAATAGACAACAAGTTTCAGACACTATAGGACAATTGATAATTAATTCTTTGTTTCCTGAAGGAAATGAAAGTCAAACATCACAAGGTTTTTGTTTTAAAAATTTCACATTATAAATTGAATTTTATATTAAATATTAATAAATAAATAAATATAATTTAGGGCATAGTAATACATTAAATGAAGCATTATTGGCTTATATAAAAATAACAGAAGATGGTACTGGAAATACCGTGACTTCACCTTCTGTCAATGATCCTTCAACAGGGAAAGGAATCAAAGGAGAAGTCAAGATTAGATATTTGTTAGCCTCAAGTATGTTAATTAGGATACTTGTTATTTAATACGATTATAATAATTGTTAATTGAATTGGTTCTTTTTAATGTTAATTATCATTTATTAGTCAAACGTAGTGGGAAACTTAGTGGGAAACTTTTTCTTCATAAATCAAAAATGAATAGCAATGATACTTTTTCCATTGGTAGAACTTGGACATTAGACAATCTTCGAGCTGTTGAAATAGTTGATGTAAATTGAATTCATATTATATATATATACATACGCACACATTTATATACATATATGTTATATATATATATATCGCACATATCATTTACATATTATTACATTTATATTGTAATTTATCAATTAGTCTCAGATTTTTATAATGAGTTTCAACAAATCATATCATTGGACTGCGGATAATACACACGATAGAAATCTTTTTTTGTCAACTCTTTTAAATGCAAGTAATAAAAAATTTATCATTAATAAATTATTTTCTATACTATAACAATAATTATATTATATTACGGTTATGGTTATCAAGACATTTTCTTTTAATTTAGAAATTTTTTTTTTTAGGCATATAAAAAACATTTTAAACGTCTACCAAAACTAGTCAATATCGATGATACTATCGTACCAGGTATATGGTATTTCAAATCTTTATTTTTTTAAATATAAATATATTTTTATAATTTCTTGCTAAAAAAATTTAGATTATAAACCATCATCTACACCAAGCACTCCATCTAAACCGCAAACTGCTCCAAGCACACCGTCCAAAACACCAATCACTCCAAACACACCATCAAATGAGTTTGATAATTACGTTGCGGCAGCTTCTTTAAAAGATAGGTTGGCACATTCAAACAAATCTAATTCAAGTTTAAAAAGTATTGGAGGCAAAAATAGTAGATCAATTACACCTTCGTTATCCATGGGTGGTGGTCAAAGTGATTCAAATAGTATAACAAATCAAACTGATGAAGATGATGGTAATTTAACTTTTTTTTTTTTTTCATATAAATATAAATATAAATACATTTTATATTTGTTTGTGCGAATTTGAAATTCCATGCAGTGAAATAAATCTGTGTGAATTTTAAATACATTCGCGTAAATTCAAAGTTTGCCAATCAGAATTTTGTGTCCCAAACCACATCTCAAAAATTTTAATTGCAAATTTCAAATTCACCCGATTTGATAACATATTTTATATATTATTATTATCAAAGAAATGAAACAAGAAGAAATTTCTTTAATAAATGTTGGAGAGTTACTTAATGACTTTGATTGGAAAGGAAGTGGAAATGCTGAAGCCTTGGAAGAAAGATTATTAAATGAATTGGCTGCATTGGAATCTGTATGTTTACATAATAAATAATAATTACAACTATTTTTGTTATTTTTTTTTTTTTTTATATAAATCATCATGATATTAATTTTTTATTTACATAATTTTTAGGCAAATATACATGCAATGATAGAATCAGATGATAGAATTTATGCAGTTATTGAACAAATTGATTATGCTATTTCAGAATTGGATAATATGGATCAATGGCTAACATTATATACAGATGAATTGAATGTAAAGAAAAAATCAGTATATCAATGCTAATACAATAACAAGATTCGTTACAATTAACATACAGATACATATGATATTTGTTTTATTATTATTAGAGTATGGGTGATGATATTCATCATATTGAAGGTCAAAATAGAGGCTTACAAGTACAAACAGCTAATCAAAAGGCTTTACTCTCTGAACTTGACAGACTTCTTGTAATTTTTATAGATTTACCTTGTTTTTTTTTTTAAAAAAAATCATTATCGTTCCTATTTCATTATAATTTAACACTTGGAAAAATGTTTATATTTTATAATGGTTATCTAGCAATCCATAACGATATCTGATAAAGTGATCAAAATATTAAAACATGAATCGATGGATACACCTCAAGGTGTACAAAATATCGAACAAGCCGCTACACACTTAAAACGTGTATTAGAAACTCCATTTGATGATGGTAAAAGATATTTCCACTAAAGATATTATATTTTTTTGATTTTCATTTTTAAACTTTTAATAAATCTTAACTCAAAAATCTTTTATGGTAATAGCAACTAAAGACATGGCAGCTGTAAAAGAATTAATGAAATCCTATGAATATCATTGTAATAATTTTTGTTCTCGTTTTTATGAATATATGAGAGTTATGTTTCAATATATACTTATGTGTGTGTGTGTATATGTCTTTGAATAAAATTTAAATAATTTTGATTTTAATTTTATTTGATCTTAGGCAGAGACTTTGCTAAATGATAAAAGTAGAGGACCACGACACAATAATCTCACTATCCAAAGTCATCAGGCATTAGAAGAACATTTATTAAAATATCGTGGAATTTCCTTATGGATGAAACAAATGGATCCTAGACGTCATACTGAAATTCAAACAGTTTGTTATATCCAATTTTTTAAATCTTTTTGATAATAATAATAGTAACAATAATAACAGTAATTAATTATCGAATATAGTTATATGTGCTTTCTAAAGAACCTATTTACAAAAAAGAAACCAAAGAATATTTAACAACAATGAAGCAATTATTATTCAAAAGAGAATTATCTGAAGAAGCAACTTATGGTAAATTATATATATTTATGTATATTTATATATAAATGTATGTAATATTGACAAAAATATTCCAAAAAAAAAGAAAGAAAGAAAACAATAACAATGGTTTTTTTAAATGAAATTACAATTAAATATAATAAATACAGTGTTTAGTGCAGCATTACTTCAAAATAATCGCACCAGTACGAATTTTGGAAATTGGTTGTCAATAGATAATTCAAGGGCACCGTGGGAGTTTAAAGATGGAGGTGGTGGAAAACTTCCACCTGAAGAAGTAAGAAAAAACATATATAGATAGATATATATATGTGGAAAAAAAAAATATAAACGGCTCTCCTAACGATATTTTTTTGATTGATTAATTAATTATAGTCATTTGATCATTCTTTACAAACAATAATTCCTTTGATTATTACCGAGAAAAATTTTATAGAAGATTTTTTTCATCTTGGAACTAAAAAACCACTTCCAAAAAATCCACTCGATGGTGACGCCGATATCGAAGATATTAAACTTTATAAAAGATTATTGTTAGTTGTTTGTTTAATTTATTATTTTAAAGTATAATAATTCCTTTTTTATTTAAATATTCTTTATGAATTTTTTTTTTATATCGTATATATTTATAGTGAACATATGGAAAGGTTATATAACTTTATGCCAGATGAATTAAATTCATTTATCGAATATGGTTGCAAATATGATAAAATGTAGGTGTAATTGGTTATTTGTTTATTTGTTTGTTTGATTTATAATTTATATAGGTCAAAGAAACATGGACAAGTTATATTTTAGAATTAGTTAATTATCAAAATAAATGTCGTTTGATCAAAGGTTGGGATGATTTATTCACTAAATGTGGTGAACATTTAAATTCCTTGACTGCAATGAAAATGTCACCTTACTATAAAACATTTGAGGAAGAGGCTGCTGGTTGGGAAGATAAATTGAATAGAATTCATCTTTTATTTGATGTTTGGATTGATGTGCAGCGTCAGTGGGTTTATCTTGAGGGTATTTTTAGTGGTAGTGCTGACATTAAACACTTATTGCCTGTTGAATCACAAAGATTCCAAAATATAGATACAGAATTTTTAACAGTAATGAAGAAAGTGTACAAGTCACCATATGTAGTTGATGTGTTGAATATTTCAAATGTACAAAAATCATTAGAACGGTTAGCTGATCTTTTGAGCAAAATTCAAAAGGCTCTTGGAGAATACCTTGAACGTGAACGTTCCTCATTCCCTCGATTTTATTTTGTTGGTGATGAAGATTTACTTGAAATCATTGGTAATAGTAAAGATGTTCTGAGAATTCAAAAACATTTCAAGAAAATGTTTGCTGGTATTTCCAACATTTTATTAAACGAAGACAATACTATAATTACTGGTATGGCATCACGTGAAGGCGAAGAAGTTATCTTTAAACATCCAATCTCACTCAAAGAACATCCAAAAATTAATGATTGGCTTACATTGATTGAAAAAGAAATGAAAGTCTCACTTGCTGAATGGCTGACTGAATCATTTAATGAACTTGCCGTTTTTTATCTTGCCGATGATTTAGACACCCCTTTGTTTTTGAACTGGATAGAAAAATATCCTACACAATTAGTAGTTGTAGCATCACAAATTATTTGGACTCAATCAGTTGAAAAAGCTTTATCAACCATGGAACAAACAGATCGTAACGATATTGCACCATTAAACAACGCACTTAACTGTTGTCTTCGTGCATTGGATCTTTTAGCTGACACTGTGCTTCAAGACCTACCAACCACACAACGTAAAAAATGCGAACATCTTGTTACTGAGATTGTTCATCAACGTGATTTGCTTCGTCAACTCATAAAAAGCAAAACATCATCACCAAAAGATTTTGAATGGTTGTATCAAATGAGATTCTATTTTAATTCTAGTCTGGAAGATCCTTTGGTTCGTCTTACAATCAGAATGGCAAATGCACAAT